AAACTTCTACCAGCTTTACCATTTTTACCATGTAGTAAACTGCTAAAGAGAGCATGACAGCAACAGCTGACTTAGAACTCTATCATATATAAGTTTTACTCAGAAAAAAAAAAAAAAAGTTTTACTCAGGAACTACAGGTAGTAGAAAATAGTGTTTATAGATAGTCTCTAGCACTAAAAGAACCAGATTAAAATGCTGGCATCCTCACTTACTAGTTACAGAACCTCAAGCCTTAATTCTCCTAGTAATAAATTGAAAATACTTTTAAAGATTAAATAAGGTATTTCATCTAAAGTGCCTAATATAGTGCCTAAGAACAGTGATAAAAGTTTAAGATTATTAATAGTAGTATTGATGTATTAGCAGTAACATTAAATAATGGAGCAGTGTAAGGTAATAGGCAGAACCTCACCTTCTTTCATATCAGACAGACTTGGCTGGGCTTGGTGGTGCATGCCTGTAATCCCAACAATCCAGGAGGCTGAGATAGAAGGATCAGAAGTTTCACCAGAAGTTTCTCAGTAATGGAGTAAGGCCCAAAGCAATTTAGTAAGACCCTATCTCAAAATAAAAATTATTTAAAAAGCTAAGGATGTAGCTCAGTGGTAAATTGCCCCTGGGTTCAATCCCCAGGACCAAATAATAGTAATAAATTAAATAAATAAATCAGACAAATCTGCATTTGAGCCAAATTTTTTATCCCTTACCTCAACTTGCTTCCTCCGTGTAATATGCTTCAAGGATTGCTATATGGTTAAATTATATAACATGGACATATATAAAGTCCCCACTACAACATTTGGTGTATAACAGAAACTCCGAAACATCATCATCAGTGGCAGGGCTCAATTCACATAGAAAAGTCAAGAGAGTTTTGAGGAGAAAATCGCTGCTAACAACAGGTTTCTGATTCAAATGGAAATACAGCCTGGGTAGAAGAACCATAAAACTGGGTTAGGGGATGTAGTTCAGTGGTACAGCACTTGCCTACCATGTACAAGCCCTGGGTTCTATCCCCAGCACCACAATAAAACACATGTATAATTTTAAAAATCAGCAAACTATCACGTTTCCTACATTTCTGAAAATAGCTGCAGGGACCAACTGAACCCATTATTTCTCTTCCTAAATCTGCTCATCCTCTAGCATTCCCACCTCAATTAACAGTAGATTCTACCTTCCTTAGCAGGGTTTCTTAAATGTAGACCTACCTGTCCAGCCTCAAGGCTATGCAACCACATAGGGTTTCTCTTGTCTGAAGAGGATATGTATAGCTTTATTTCTTAATTAGGGATAGCTTTTGTTCTCCAATTCTTATGGAAAATAGTCTGTACCCAGAAGCCAGTGTGGTTTTACTAGGCCAAACAATCAATCACAATGCTGGTCCTCTGGCCCAGAGAGTCGTATAGGGCTCTTATTGGACCAATCAGAGATCTGCTATGGAATTTTTCAAACTGGCAGTAAGGGAAAAGCAGAAGAGCCACTTTGATGGCCATGGGAAAAAAAAAATGTGAGCTGGGAGCTACTAGGAGCTGGAGTCCCCACCTTCTGAGAAAAGTTCCTTTGAAAACTAAATCCATGAGAAAGGCAGACAAGTAGAGTAACACAGTTGGTCCTCAAATCCAGCCAGCTGCACTCCTGTTCTTCCCATTCTGTGCTATCAAGATTCAATAAATTCATCTTTTTGCCTATGCCAGTTCAAAGAGCTTCTGGCTCCTGGGAAAATTCATATCATCACAAAAAAAGCAAGAGTGCTGCTATGCCAGGAGATGATTAGAACCTGGCATTCAATCAGTCTCTGCCAGGATGTCTTCCCTCCACAATTGCCCATGTGACTCACTAGGTCCCCTCTGTCTCAATTACAACATAGCAGTGTTCTACACAGCCAGATCCGTTGGTCACTGAATTCTCAAACATTATTATCTAAGGCTCCCTCTTCCAGTCTTAATTCTTCTAGCACAAATTTGGAAAACTCCAGAAAAGAATTTTGATTATTTTGGTTTGAGGCAAGTGCCCATCCTAGACCAATCAATGGGGGCTATGAGATGATGCACAGACACAGCTCTTTAGGCTAGCAGGAAAAGATACAGAAACAAGCAGCTTGGTTTTCTGATGTTTTTCACACTCTCATAATGCCAGCCTCAGCTCTTTTCCCAAATCACAACACAGGTAACACTGCATGTCATGTCAACATAACAGACAATGTTGCCAACAGAGAAAGCAGAAACAGGTATTCATCAACTTAAAAAAATATTGTAGTTGTAGATGGATACAATATCTTTATTTTATTTATTTATTTTATGTGGTACTGAGGATCGAACCCAGGGCCTCACACATGCTAAGCAAGCACTCTAACATTAAGCTATAATCTCAGCCCATTATTTATCAATTTTACAAGCCATTTGGCAAAATAAGTACCCTGAGATAAACTCCATGCACAGTCTGTTATCCCAGACTGTGCAATATAGCCATGTTTGAGTCCATTTTGAAATGCTGACAGAGTAAGCTCTGAGGCTCCTGCTGCAAATAAATAAATAAATCCTAGAGATTTATTTTATTTAAATTGGATTTCATTTCTGACCCTATAAGCATCTCTTCTTGTCATTGATGAAGGCCTGTCATAAAAGGTCACTGCTGCTTCTGTGTAATCTGTTGAACTTGATGTTCTAGAATACACAGAAAACATACAGAAGCCCAATATGTGCTTTTCTAAGTTAATGCACTATATTTGATTGAAACTAATTCTGAAGCAGATTCCTATGACCTGATATTGGATAATCCCTAATATAACCAAAGGTATTTAAATTAGGCACATAAAACTGAAGTCTCCTACTTTGCAAAATTACAAGGATGATAACATTTACTAAGGATTAATTATATATCAGGTGTTTGGGGGCACATCTTATTTAATCCTGCAACAACCTTGTCTACTTTTTATAGTCAAGTAAATGGCAGAGTTAGGATTAAATCTATGTCTAAATTGCTGGTTCTCAAAACCCTGTACTTCCCACCAAACCATACTACCTCCTGTCTACTTTCCTCTGATACACATGCCTTAAAATTTCAAGGAACTAGCTGGGCACAGCTATACAACCTTGTATTCCCAGTTCTCAGCAGACTAAGGCAGGGGAATCACCAAGTTCCAGGCCAGTCTTGGCAACTCAGCAAGACCCTGTATCAAAAAAATAAATTAATTAATTTAAAAGGACTGGGGATGTAGCTCAGAGATAAAGTGCCACTGGGTTCAATCCCCAATATTGCAATAAATAAATAAATATTCAAGAAACTAAATGCAATATGTATCCTATACTAGAATATGAAACAGAAAGCAGACATTAGTAGAAAAACTACTGAAATCCAAATAAAGCCTAGAATTTAACAAGTAGTAATGTGCTGATGTTAATTTGTTCAGGCAAATGTATCCTTCTAATCTAAGATGTTAACATTAGAGGCAACCATGTGAAGAGGAAGTGGGAACTCTATGTATTTTTGTGATTTTTCCACTAAGGCAAAATTATTCCAAAATGAAAAGTATGATTTAAAAAATTAAAGAAAAATTTGAACCTCAGGTATTGTCCTGAAGCTTGATACCTAACTGGATGTTTCCAAAAGAGTAGAAGCAAGTGGTTTTTCCTGTGACTATGAATTTTAAATCTACCAAAGACATCACTTCTGGCTTCATCAGATTAGGTTAATATAAAAACAAATTAAATACTATGTCAAATGACATCTTGGTTGACCAGCAATAAAATGCAGCCCCACAGTAATAAAGAAAACCTCTCATCAAGCTGATCATGACAGCAGGTGACCTAACCAGCTGTTTATAATGTGCTGCAGTAGGCAGTTATGGCTAGTTGGGAAGCAGAAAGGATGCAAGGCCATCCTGAAGCAAAGGTTAGGATGATGTCATTAAAAGGTTGGATTCTGAGAAAGAGCAGCAGCTGCCAGATCCAGTTGACCCACAGTAGTCAGAGGCAGAAATGGGTTTATCCCTGAGTTAGGACCTCAAGCAAACCTTGAAGAAGAGACACAACTGTAAACAGCAACAGACTGCACCCCCACACACTCAGCCTCAGACCAGAGTGCAATCTTCCATCTATCTGTGTTTGGAGAGAGCTGCTGATCTTGTACTGATCTCCTCCACGACACCACTCATAAAGTAAAGAATGATGTTTCTTCCAGAAATATCATCTTCAGGAAAGGAACTATTTATCCAGAAACTATTTATCCATCCCCAGCACCCAGGTGGGGGTGGGGCAGTATTTATACATTTATATTAAAAATATTCTAAGACTTAAATTTCCAGACTGTTATAATTCTAAGCTTAGATCTCTTTTACACGACGTATCTAGGATAAACATATGGTTTAATATTCTGTATGCTTAATTACATCATGTTCATCCCAGTTGGATTGCCAGTCTTTCAAGTGACAAGGTTAAGCACATTTTTTAAAAAAAGGTTTCTTCTTTTTGCCTTTTCAGTGGGCTGCTCACACCATTTACTTCAAAGTTTTCAAACATTTTCCTCCTTTGAAATTTTAATTTACTCTAAATGCTTGCCCCCACAGAATATTCTCCAGTTCCATTTCAATCCTGGACCCTTTTGAATAGAAATCCTTGACAAAAACATCAAGGGGGTGGGATTATGGAGACATACTGAGAAGCTTCTGAATTGTCCTCTGAAGTTCTGTCATCTAGATGCTGAGGGTGTCTCTTTGTTCAGCCGTCCAGACCATAAGGCCACACAACTAATGTGCCCTCTGGAATCACAGGATCTTTCTTTGAAAGAGTTGTCCAGTTTTCAGGGTACATTAGGTAACTGCCCGTACAGCAGCACAGCCAGAAAAGAATGTCGGTGCTTGCCTTCAGGTATAGGTGCCTGGGGGTCAGGAGCAGAGGGAAAGGCAAGGGGTGGAGTAGGAGGCGGGTGATCGACAGGGATAGACACAATGTCTCCTCCTCCCTCTGAATGCGAAATAGCCAATGAGGTGGCGCGGCCAGGCCGGCCCGGCCGCCAGTGCCATATAGTATGCAGCAACCGGAGGAGTCACGTTGGGGGAACGGCAGAAAGCAGCTATCCGTTTACACTACTTTGCTCTAGCAGCTATCTTAATGGTGACTGCGTGGCCGGGGGGAAACCTGATCGGCCAGATCCAGCCGAAACCGGGAGGGAGGGAGTGGGCTTTCCGGAGGGGGGGAGGGGGAGGGAGACGAAGGAGGAGGAGTAAGAGAGGGGGAAAGAAAGAGGAAAAGAGTGCGAGGGAGTGAGGGAGGGAGGAAAATAAACAACAAAAAATGTCCTCTTCCTCCCCCACCGGGCAGATTGCAAGTGCGGCGGACATCAAGCAGGAGAATGGGATGGAAAGCGCCTCTGAAGGGCAGGAGGCGCACCGAGAAGTGGCGGGGGGCGCGGTGGCGGGGCTGAGCCCCCCGGCTCCAGTCCCTTTCCCCCTGGAGCCGGGGGACGCCGTGGCCGCCGCCGCCAGGGTGAGTGGAGAGGAAGGGGCAGTGGCGGCGGCGGCCGGAGCGGCGGCGGATCAGGTACAACTCCACTCGGAACTTCTGGGCAGGCACCACCACGCCGCCGCCAGCACCACCGCACAGACCCCGCTGGCCTTCTCGCCGGACCATGTCGCCTGCGTGTGCGAGGCGCTGCAGCAGGGGGGCAACCTGGACCGCCTGGCCCGGTTCCTGTGGTCCCTGCCCCAGAGCGACCTGCTACGTGGCAACGAGAGCCTGCTGAAGGCGCGGGCGCTCGTGGCCTTCCACCAGGGCATCTACCCTGAGCTCTACAGCATCCTCGAGAGCCACAGCTTCGAGTCGGCCAACCACCCGCTGCTGCAGCAGCTCTGGTACAAGGCGCGTTACACCGAGGCCGAACGAGCCCGCGGCCGGCCGCTGGGCGCCGTGGACAAGTACCGGCTACGCAGGAAATTCCCCCTGCCCCGCACCATCTGGGACGGCGAGGAGACGGTGTATTGTTTCAAGGAGAAGTCGCGCAACGCGCTCAAGGAGCTCTACAAGCAGAATCGCTACCCTTCGCCCGCCGAGAAGCGGCACCTGGCCAAGATCACCGGCCTCTCCCTCACCCAGGTCAGCAACTGGTTCAAGAACCGCCGGCAGCGCGACCGGAACCCCTCGGAGACCCAGTCCAAAAGGTGAGCGCCAACTTTTCTCCTCCTCCCCCTTCCTCTCCCCCACCCCCTTCCCGGCTTTCTTTTCCTCCAAGTGCTCGCAAACATGGCGCTTACCTTCCCCACCAGCCGGGTCCGGCTGCCCACCTCTCCCCGCCCCCCACCTCGCTCCTAGACCCGGAGCAGGGGGCGGCTGTAGCAAGGGGCGGAGGGAACCTCCCTCCTCACCCTCCCCCTCCTGCCCCCAGAAGTTTCTCGTCGCCTGCCTAGGTCTCAGTCCCCGCCCCCACCTCGGCTGGTCACCGCTGCCCGGCTTCCCACCCCCATTCCGCTGGCTTTGAAGTTGCCACTCTCTCCTTGGGTTCTGGCCGGGCGAAGGAGGGGCGTGCGGACGCTGGCAGGGCAACTCTCGCTGCCGCTAGAGGCCCGCGGAGGCAACCGAGCGCCGGCCGGGTCCGCACCTCTGCTGGGTCACACCCGGCCTGTCGTGCGCACACTCAGTATCCCCGGGGCTCGGTTGCCCCCGGGTCTTCCTTGGAGGTCAGCTGGGAAGCCCTGAGGGGAAAAGAACATTAGTGGGGGCTGGCGACCCAGAAGGGGTCTGAGGACGTCGAGGTTTTAACGTGACAGAGTTAATCATTCACCCTGCCGGTTGTGGTTCCTTTCGAGACCGCCGCAACGTGGGGTGCCGGGGCGGCTCGGCTGTGCCGTGTTTTGAAACCTGATTCTGAACAACTTCGGATCGGGTTTCAGCGCGGTAGGGATTGCAGGGCTGCTGGGGCCTCTTTCTGGGCCCCCTAACTGCGCGGCTCTCTACTGGTACTGTAGTTGGGAGGTGGGGGACTGGCTGGCATAGGCGGACAGCGGGAAAGAAGTAGGGGCGCTATCAATTCAGCCCCTCTTTGAGCTCCCACCCTGTTGGGCTTGAACTTTTTGGCTGACAGGTTTTTTCCCCTCTCCAAAAGAAATACCGGGTTTTCCACCTCTTTTGTGTGTCCTCCGGGAGTTATACACTTGGGGTGTGTGTGTGTGTGTGTGTGTGTGTGTGTGTGTGTGTGTGTACACGCGCGCGCATGTATGTATATATTGTTGGATGAGGTAAAGTAAGGAAAAGGTCGTCTAAAGAGATCGCATCTCCAGCCCTCCGGGGACTGGAGAGAAAGAATCCAAACTCTGCTCGAAGGTTATGCTCAGGGAAGGAATCTGGGAGTCGGGAAGCCAGCCCGTCTGGGCCAGGTGAAGGTGATCACCTGGCGCATTCCAGAGCCCGCCGCGGCCCGCCCTTATAGCTCCTGCCCGTAGAACCCGGTGGGGGCCCGACGGCTGCCGAGTGCCTCGCCCAAGGCAGAGAGAGAGAGGCTCTGTGTCCTAGCCCGGCCTCGCGGTAACCAAAACAAAACGCGCACCGAGACTATAGAGCACCCTTCCGCAAACTTGCGAAGGGACCCAGAAAAAGCCCGTTGGTTAGGCCACGACACCTGCCCGCTAGAGGCCGCGGATCCCCGCGCCCAGGCACCAGCAGAATCTGCTAGGCAGGGGATCAAAGGGTGGTGAGCGGGCACAGTGCGCAGGCCAGCTGCCTTGCAGCCTCCCTTCCTAAACTGGGCTCGTTCCCCGAGTCCCCGAGTCTCCGTCTACCCCCAAGCCAGTCTACCAACTTCATCCCTCTCCCCCCTAACTCCACGCCCCATTCCCCTAGTTGCTTGGTTTAGGCCCCTCTCCGGATCTACCACCCACCCGCACCCCCGTGAGTCACCCTCGCAGACGGCGACTGCGGCTCAGCCTCAGCTCGTAAATCAAAGGGCTTTCCGCGCTCCTGGCCCCGCAGCCCAAAGCCTGGGTAATCCCCTCCCCTCAGCATGAAAGCGAACCGCGGGCCACTACTGGGATGTCAGATCATCTACTGGGCCAAGTCCCACACCGCGCTTCCAAACTGCCTCTGTCCTGCTTCTTCTACCCAGCCTCTCTAGCCAAATGGGGGAAAAAGTCCACCACCAATCTCCAGCTCCAATTTGGTATCTCCCCCAAATCTGGGAGCAAAAGATTACAGTCATGCCTGGAACAGGATTGAGGACTCTGGGAAGGGGTCTGATAGTTACCAGGCCGCTGAATGACCCACACCCTTTGCCTCCCACCTCACCAGGGCACTGGATGGTGTTTGTTAAATAGGTCCCTATGGCTTCCTTTGGATTCAAAGGCGACTGCACATAACTGTTCTTGGGTTGAAAGTCTTTCCTACAACAAGGACAGCCTCTTTGTTGAATGAGAGAGTTGTCTGGTGGAGTAGAAGTTTGGGAGCAGGTGAGAAAATGGTCTCTTGTTAACTAATGGTGAATAAAGCTGAACACTTCACACCTTCTGCTCCTTTGGCAGTTTCACCTACCTCTAACACTAATCTGAATAGAGGGGAGGGGAAGCGTTCCTAAACAGGAAAAACCGATCACTTCATTTAATGAGATTTCCTGTGACATAAGTAGCAGCATATTTCCCAGTGAGGAATAGCATATCAGTGCTATAAAAAACAAAAATACATAACTATTCTGTAAATTCTGTTAGCTAAATCTACATCTTCCAGGTCTCTGACCTTTCCCTTAAAATATATTAAAAATGATTAGGATCTGAGAATTTCTCTTTCCTGATTCCCTGGTCAGAAACTGCTGAAAGGTCTCATAATTTTAACAGGACTAGTAGATATCCTGCTGTGCTTTCCTTAAATACTGCCCTTAATGGGTTTAGAAGTTATTTTCTAAACAAATGGCACCATGTAGAATGTCATCCCCCTAACCTTCTGAATGTCTTGATTTTCTCTTCCTTCTGTACAGTGAATCAGATGGAAATCCCAGCACTGAAGATGAATCCAGCAAGGGACATGAAGATTTGTCTCCTCACCCACTCTCAGGTTCATCAGATGGTGTCACCAACCTCAGCCTTTCCAGTCACATGGAGCCAGTATATATGCAACAAATTGGAAATACTAAGATACTAAGCTCTTCTGGAGTTTTGTTGAATGGAAGCTTGGTACCTGCAAGTACTTCACCTGTCTTCCTTAATGGTAATTCTTTTATTCAGGGACCCAATGGAGTTATCCTTAATGGATTAAATGTGGGAAATACACAGACAGTGTCATTGAACCCACCAAAACTGTCTTCAAACATTTTGAGCAATGGTGTAGCCATGACTGACATACTGGGATCTACCTCCCAGGATGTGAAGGAATTTAAAGTCCTCCAGAGTTCTGCTGCTAACTCAGCAGCCACCAACTCCTATAGCCCCAGTGCCCCCGTGTCATTCCCAGGCCTGATACCCAGCACTGAGGTGAAAAGAGAAGGCATTCAAACAGTGGCTTCCCAGGAGGGAAGCTCCGTAGTGACTTTTACTACACCAGTGCAAATTAACCAATATGGCATTGTCCAGATCCCTAATTCCGGAGCAAACGGCCACTTCCTTAATGGGAGCATTGGATTCTCTCCACTGCAGCTGCCTCCTGTCTCAGTGGCAGCTTCACAAGGTAAAAACCTCATTTGGTACCATAATGCACCAGCAAATGTGTTGGACTGCTGCTGAAAATGGCATATTTAGTGAGAGCTATAGATTGGTGTTACTATTCAGGTACGTCATTAACTCCACAGCTGCAGAACAACCTGATATAATTTTCCTTCACAACACCCATGTAATACACACAGCTTGCTTGATTTCCTTGCATTGTGGGATAAGATTTTATTTTCCAAAAACTGAATGGAAAATATAATTCATAAGTCTTATCAATTCTAGTTACAAAAATATGTCAATCAGTGCTTACAGAATAAGTAGTGGTATCCATTACTTGACATTTTTTTAATTAAAAATGAATAAAACTGTTAAGAATGTAAAAATGAGTTGAGCAGTTGATAAGCATATATATGCTTTACCTAAGCATTATTGAACAAAATTGTTTTAAATGAACAAGCAAAAAAAGACTATATCAGTTTTGTTTGAATCATGTTCCCCCTATAATTAAGACTACAACTTAAAATGACTTAAAATCAGAAAAATATGTGATTGGATTTCTGTTACTCAGGATATATACTCACCCCTAAATGTGCAAGTTTATTTATGAAAACAACTATAAGCCTTATTGATATATATTTGTGACTTTACTACTAGTAATCTGCTAGAGAAAGCACTGATCTCAAATTTGAGAAAGCCTAAGCTAATATGCCAGTTTTTCACTGACTTTAACCAAGTCTGGATCGTTTGTCATTGTAGAAAAATAAGAATAGTTAGAATTTGACCGTGGAGGTTACATGGTCCCTTGAATTCAAGAGTGGAAGATGTTGATGCATGTTTTTCTTTCTATAAGCAAATCTGAAAGTACAAATTTTTAATTAATTGCTGGCCTTCAAAATCAACTTTTCAGCTTTCTATGATTTTACCAAAAAGGAAAAAAAAAAAAATAGGACTGGGGTCATGGCTCAATGGTAGAGCACTTGCCTTGCATGCTTGGGGCCCTGGGTTCAATTCTCAGCACCACATAAAAATAAAAAAATAAAAAGTGAAGGGGAAAAAAAAAAGGACCATATCTAACTTTTTTAAAAAAGAAAGAAATTAGTCAATTTATGAACAGTCCTGTTGTTTCCACAGCTATGATCTACTTCAGCTTATTGGAAGCATTAATGGGAAAATGATTGTAAATTTCTTTGTTTCTCTTTAAGCAAAATGTTAGTCAGATATGACAGCCCTGCAGCATACTGTTCAGTGTTCATTGTTGCAGCTAGGGCCAAAATATGAAAGCCACAGAAAAATTCAAAGTGTTTAATTTTACAATAATGTGGCTCTAACCCCTTTTCCCTCTTTAGGCAAATTTCCAAAAATAGGTAACAGTTAAAAACAAAAACTTTTAACAAAAAGTGAGTATGTATATTGGAAGAAAAGAAAAGTTTAAAATGTTTGTTAGTTATAGTCTAGAAAAGTGCTACCATAGAAAATTATTATGAACTAATATCTAACTTTTTAAGTGTTCCATAGTTATTATTTTTTTAAGTGGGACATTTAATAAGAATAAAAGTGTATATAATTAGAGATTATGAAAAATTGTGCCCTACATATGTAATAAGAATTGTAATGCATTCTGCTGTTTTATAATAAAAAAATAAGAATTTTAAAAAATAGAATAAGAGTAGCATTTTCAGTTAAAATAGCTAAAAGACAGGGCTGTCAATCCTTAAACTGTCAGTGAATTGAGGGCATGAGTTTAATTAACTAGAAGAGTCCAATGAGCAAATTCCTTTATAGTAGTGTGTATTACAGTTCTTAAGAAAGCGTTTTGGGGATATGACTTCTCAAAAACACATAGAGCCTTGTTTCAAATGTCTAGATAAGGTAAACTTAACCTTTCTATTATTAGGGTTTAAATGAGAAAGTAGATTATTGTATCTTTTATTTATTAAAAATCTGAAAAAAAAATAAAGATTTACTTTGTACTTTGGAGTTTTAATAATTTTAAAATTAATGTTTAATAAACTCAGTTGCAGTTGTACTTAAAAATCATTTTTAGATTATATTTGCCTTTCCCCTTTCATTTGTATATAGTATAGTTTTTATACTTACAGAAGTATTATTTTACTTGTATTCAGTAGCCATTGGGAAAATGTTTCATGTGTTGTCTCTATTAAAAAATTGTTTTTGCACATATACACTGGTAAATAATTTCACAAGCACGCATACACAAAGTAAACATCTCTTTCAGATGGTTTTTGCTAAAGTCTAACAACCTACAAGAATTTTAGAGCATACGTTGAAGCCAAATGTTTTCATATAAAAGCACTTTTTTTCTCATTTGTAGAGCCTAAACAAACATTCATGTTAGGAAATAGCCCAAATATACCTAGAAATGTTTTTTTTTCCTTTCTTTTTCTTTTTCTTTCTTCTTTTTCTTTTTCTTCAATTTTTTATAATTGTAGATGGAATGCCTTTATTTTATTTGTTTCTCTTTATGTGGTGCTAGGCAAGCACTCTGCCACTGAACTACAGCCCCAGCCAGAAATGATTTTCTTAACATCAATATTTCTGTGATGAAATTTTGTAGCAGTTACTTAGGACTTCAAATATACTATCTGTGTCTGCACCTTTCTGTCTCTCTCTCTCTCTCTCTCTCTCTCTCTCTCTCTCTCTCTCTCATTTAAAGACATATCTTGGCATTAGGGTGCTTAAAAATATTTGGAACACATATAAAGAGCCTCTGTAATAATTCACAATTATTCTAATAATTCAAGAAGAGAAATAATTCAGGGGAATTCCCTAATTTAACATTAGACCATTTTCGCAAATACTAAAGAGCTGACATCTTATTCAGAGGCAGGGTAAACAAATAGCACATCTGAATTCTGTCACAAATGCATCTCTTGCCCCAAATATGCATCTCTCCTTCAATAGCAGTATCTACGGACCTAAATCATCTGATTACCATCATTTCTCTTTTCCCATGTAAAGACTC